AAAAAAAAAAAAAAAAAAAAAAAAAAAAAAAAAAAAAAAATGAAGTGGAAAAAAAAATCAAAGAAACACTTTACTATTTAAAAAGAAATACAAAAATGTAAATGGGGACCTGAGGGTTAAATCTGCTGTTGTCTCCTTTCGTGGAAAGAAAAATTTTGAAAATTTTTTTTAGAACAAAATTTTATACATTTAAGAAGAAAAAAATAAAAGTGTTTGCTAAATATTATTTAGCTTAAACACTTTTTTGTTTGTAGTTGATTTTGTGTACGTGTGGCTGTGCCACATATAGTTTTATATACTAAAACGGAAGTAAAAGGTAATACATTTTTTTTTTTTTTTTGCATTTAAATTTAATTTAAATGTTTAAAAATTTTCACTATTAATATAAAAATAAAACGAACATTGCAAAAATTAAAGGAAAAAAAAAAAATAAAAAAATTCAATTGAATTGAATTTTCTATGTTAGAAAACTATTAAAAGAAACTATTGAAATTGTAAAACTATATTGTCTGTACATGTATTGATGTGTAATATAACGTCATAAAAAATAAAAGAAAAATATTAAATAAATAAATAAATAAAACATATATATTGTGTGTATATATATGCATAATAAACTAATTTAATGTTTAACTTGAGTGTAGCTTAATTTTATTTTAAATTTTTACTATTTTTTCTTTTTGTTTTTTACTCTTAAAAAAACGGAAACTCATTTAACAGAAAACATGACAAACCTAAAATATAAAGTAAACATAAAAATAACTAATTTATAAATCTGTATAAGTATAAAGACCACTTACACATATATATTTATCGCTGTTACTAAAAAAAAAAAAAAGAAAAAGGAAAAAAGAAAAAAACAAGTGAAGTAATTATGAAAATTTTATAAAATTTACAAAATGAAAAAACTTTTAAGTGTATAACAAAAATAATAAATTCAAATAAAAAACACTTACTTGTCCAATGTTTTAAAAACATAGAAAAAAAAAAAAAAAAAATACAAAAAACAAATTTATTAAAATGTATAAACATTAGGTTTGATAAAAAAGAAAAACAAAACTAAAAATTGATATGCTTGGTTGAAGAATTCTCTCATGCGATATATGATCAGTTTGTGATAACGAACGCACTAGTTACCTTAACTGTGGCACAATTTTAACAACGATTGATTTGTTCTAACGTGTTTGCGAAAAATAAATAAATAAATAAAATGCTAAAGTTTGTGATGAATTGTAGAAAATAGAAAAAGAAAAAACTACAAAATGAAAATCATCTATACACATATATATATATATATATATATATTTATATATATTTATATATATATATATATATATATATATATATATATATATAAATATACACATGTATCAATGTTTCAAATAAGGGAAATTTGCTTTTGTTGTTTACTGTTAGGTACAAAGGGGCTTATCTTTTTTTGTAGCGTAGATAGATAATGGGAGCTTATATAAAATGAATTATCCACATGTCGACCTAATAGGTTTAACATCTATGTAACAAAGAAAAAAAAAAACAACTACTAAAATTGACAATAAATTTTAACAATTTTTTTAGCAGCTGTACTTAGAGACCAATCGCAATTATGAAAACTTATAATTAGAAATGTAAGTGCAATCGTCTAAATTTCTACTATAAACAATTGGAACTAAGTCAACTATCACAGATAATAAAATTTTCAATTTCCTCATTGCTTTCATAGAATCCCCGTCCTTTGTATCAAGTTCGACTTTGCTTTCAATTTTTAATAAGCCTTTGAGTTACATTAGCAAAGAGCTTAAGATATATAGAAAAAATATTACTTAAATAAAACACAAAATTTTTGTTCGCCTTCATCCTGAAGGTTGTCACAGTTTTACTTATATTACAAAATTAGCAGAGCTCATAGGTTAGATCTTGGAATGCCTAAAAATTCAGTGAAAGATTCTTCCCGAACAGTTTGCATTTTGAATTTATTTATACGTATCAGGGGAGAAGCACTAATGATAATTTTATTGCATTATCCCGTGGATTATGATCAGTTTATCGGCCTGGATAATTAGGTTATACTTACAAATTAAAACAACAACATTAATTCTCAACTTCCTCCCGAGTTTACTCTGATCGATGCAAATCTATCGGTTCGGTTAAAGGAAACAGGATAGGTTGGCTTAGGATATTTTTTAAAAAATTGAAAGAAATCTTTATTTTTTGGGTACATACTATAATGTACTAATTGCCTGTATTGTAGTGGATGTATTAAACATTTGCACTAATCCCACTTAATTTAGCGAAGAAGTTATTTCAAATTCATTTTAAGACGAACGTACTCTCCCTCGATTGATTCAATCCGGGGAAGCGAAGCATTGTAATTCTATCATTTTACTTGTAATGCACAAAAATCGAAGAACCCATAAAGAATCGGAATTCTCAACAATGAAATTCTTAGCTCACTTTGCCAGGTCCAAATTTTTGCAAAAATTGCTAAAAGCCGGGTAGTTTTCAAAAATGATTTGAAAAAAGATCTGATTCACCTTAAGCGGCTAAAATATTAAAATACGAAATAATTTAAAATACTATTAGCTTATAGCAGATATCAATGCGCACTGCGGTCCAAATATTACTTAAAAACGTTCTCGATGGGTTATCGTTGTCGCAAGAGCCGCCGCATAGATTAGTGAATAAGAAGCGCCAATATTAAGTCGATATGCGCGAGTTGAATTCTCAGTACGATGGACGATACTTTCCCTTAAAATTAGCATATGGCCATAGTCATCGTGAAGATATAACATTTGAAAATCCAGTTCGTCACAAGATTCACATACTCGTTACACAACGCCTTTGACTAGTCCATGCACCTCATCACGAGATAAGCATTTTTCGTGTTCTTCGTTCAATGAGTATATCGCCAGCACCACACTTTCTCTAAATGGTTGGATGAATGATGAAGATGACGAAGAAGTTTTTAAAATAAGCAGAAATTGTTTTGGAAAAAAGCATACAATGGTTTTTGCGGGTGATGATCACGAATATGACGCTATGGATGACGACGATGGCATAGATTCAAATAAAATGTATGATAATTACGATTCCATTGATGATGACGCTGCGAACGTACAAGACTTGAATATATCCAAGTTAGAGAGTGTTGTGAAATAAAAAAGGAATTTATAAATACATAATGCATGTACAGCAGCTAATTTATTCATTCACTAGCACAGCAACAACAAAAACGGTGCACAGCAACAACTTCTCAATGCTCTGATGAAATTGTTCCTCCATCATCTCATCGAAAGCGTCAAGCTCGCTCCAAACATCAATTCGATGCAATATATCTGCAGACATCATCGTCACTCTCCATACGCTAGAAAGCATTCCAAGCCTCTCTTTGATAGGCAAGGTATACGAATAATGTTTCACAAGTTTAGCGTAACATCCTTAATAATCACATTCACATTCACATTTTTAGTATTTTAAATTACAATATAAATGGCACAACGAATGGAATTTCCTCCTTTCAAAATGCTATGAACGCTAGCAATGGCGCCATAACTAGTACTAGCGAAAATTTACAGCCTGAACATTTTATGGGCGTAATTTATGCTTACGGCGATCAAATTTTAATCTTGGGGCAATGATCTAAATATAGTTCGTATTGTATTATAATTCATGGCAAAGTATGCTTGGTCGTTGGCAGGCATCCATTAATCAAGGATAATTTATTGGCCTCAATTCAAAGTGTACTAATTTCAGCGCTTGCTGATGGGTGAGGTAACGTTATACTTCGACTTATTAGCGTGCATTTTGTTTCAAATGTCTCAGATGGATAATATAAAGATGCAGGAAAGTTTTACCCAATCTTGCTTACCTATCAACATGATATTGATTGACGAAATTTGCTTAACAAAGGTAAGTGTTTTCATTACGTTTATCTTCCATTTTCCACTGATACAAGGAAATGTATTCTTCTTCTCTTTTTTGTAGACAGGACATTCGAACATTTTCGCCGAAATTAATTCATCCAATATAGGATGCGTATTGTCTACATTTAATCCGGAAAAATAAAACATAGTCTATATATGAAAAAAAAAAAAAACGAAAATATGTATTATACTCACCTACATACATACTAAATGTTATTATTATCCCGCAGCAGAAGCGGCATGATTTCTTTTTATGAAAATTTTTTAGTCAATACGTGTTTTTATCACATTTCCGCTAATTAATTTCACTCCTTTTTGGATTCTGATCGCTACAATAGTCATAAAAACTTGTAAGCGTAGTTTCTATAATGATTTTAATATTAAAGGAAATTTTGCTGACGTTATTGTGTGTGTGTGCGTATCAAATTAAAACTTTTCATTTTATATATTTTCGTTTTCTTTTGAATTCCACAAAAGTATATGAAAGTCTGTTCCTTTTTATACCCATCACCCAAGGATAAGCGGTTATATGCATTTTGTCAAAACGTTTGCAACGCCCAGACGGAAGCATCAGAGACCCCACAAAGTATGTATATATATTCTTGATCAGTATCAAACTCTGAATCGATTTAAGCATGTCCCTCTGTCCGTCTGTTTAATGTCTTTTGCAAACATTCTCCTGGCCGCAAAAACGAAGCTATCGACGTCGGCACAAACATTACAAGATTAATTTTGAAAATGGCCCAAATCGGTCAACGGGCACGCCCATAGCATCTGGTAAACTGAAAATACGTTTAGTTTTCAAAGGAACTGAGAAATTGGTTTTTTACTCATTACTCATAAACTATGGCAAATAAATGTACAAAAAATTGTGCCCCCATTCTATTGGCGATGCTGTACCACGCCTAACCAATATTATAGAGTATCAAAATTGAATTATTTAAAACCCCATAAAGTATACAGATTCTTTGCCAGTTTCAAATCTTACATGTACCTAAACATGTCCGTGTCCATCTCTCTGCTTGCCCAACTTTGCAGTATTTGCCGTCAAAATTCTCCCGTTAGCGAAAACGAAGATATCGCCTACAAATTTGCAAAAGAATTTGGAATTGACCTAAACTTTTCAAAGAATACGTCTACGGCGCTCACCCCACGTTATAGAGCATGACAATTTTGTTCTTTTACTTCTTTTGTCTTTTTTTTGGGGTAAACGGGATGATGGGTATAAAAGATTCGGTCTCGACCGAATTTAATTTGCTTACTTTTTTTTTGGTATTTTTAATGTTTTTCTTTTTTGTTGTTTTTTAAGTACAATAAATTACCAGCGCAATGTTTTACTTGGATATTACAAAATATCGATATAAATGTGGCGAGCTTTTCCTGTCATATAAAATAAGAAATGAATTTTTTTTATTCATTGTTTACATACTATGATTATTAAGTAAGCTCTCCTGTGTCTTTCGAACATAGTTTGTGTACTGAATTTCAATTTTAATAATAAAAGAAAGAAAATAAAAGAAATGGAAAAAGATTATGAAAATTGTAGTTCCTTAAATTAATTAAATTACTTATAAACAGAAAGACGACATAATGCTTATTTTATTGATGATCGTGTCGTTTGAGTCATTGGGCACATTTTTCGCACTACATCTTTATATGGATGCTAATAAATATTTCTCGAGTTGATTGAAAAATTGCAAGTTATCGACTAAAATGTGTTGAAAGTTTCAATATTTAGTCATCACTACAACGATATGTATGTACTAATAGCTTGGTGCATAGTTGTGAGGCTTTTTTAATCGATATTATTATTGAAGCAAATTGGAGAAAAATTCGGGCACGTGCGGTTTTATTGTTTTCGTTGAGTTCGTGGGAACCCATTCACACAATTTCCATACCTTGTTGACTGATTGGTTCACATTGAAGTTGTCGGCCAGCATTCGAGTTGTCAAACTTTCGAGCCCCTTTCACGGCTACCAAAAGCTCCTGGTCGTCTTCTTGACTTCCAAGCTAGTGCCGCCAGATTTGAAGCGGACAAACCCATTCCAGCTAAAATTATTGATCCAGAAACAGGAGCTTCTACATGAGCTTTTGGCAATCATAAATGAACCAAAAATATTAGTATTTTTACCAAAAAAGCTAAAAGTATAGAAAAGTATTCCCTTCATCACTGATTGTTCCCTCACCGAAAAGTTTATTGACACCGTGAAATGACTGCTCTCCTTTCCATTCTTCCTCAAAGCGCAACAGCATAATATGAGGAATATGACTATGATTATCGACACGAATTTTTATAACCTAAAAGTAGAAGGATATTTTCATTCACAAAATTAATAAAATATCGTACATTTTTACTAAAATACAGCACGTCAAAGAAATGCCTGATAATTACGCTTCGACCCGTACACCATTTGCGATAAAGAATACACATTAAGTTCGTATGGATCTATGTAAAATTCAAAAGGATTTAGGATAGGTTCATCATTATAATATAATTACAGACATCAAACGAACAGACAAGTTTAGATCAGCATAATAAAAATTGGCTCTATCTTAAGCCCTTCCAGAACTTACGTATGTCCACCCAAGCCTAATATACTTTTTGTTTAGTCCACAAAAAAATTTAATATGTGTACATTGGTATATACCTCTGTCGTTCGCACAACGCGGTCCTTATCAAATATGGTTTCGACACAACACGGTACAAAATTTGCGGAAGTAGCATGGGATTGATATAACACGATTTCAAAAAATCGAATATGTGTTCCGTTCGATTTTTTTCAGTATGGTACAAATTAACTGTGTTATACAAGGGATGCCTGTACGCATGACTATACATTATTGAAGTTTATTGTTAAATTTATTGAGGTCATAATGAGAAGTGTATTTTTTTATTGTTACGCCTGTTTGCAATGCTTGCGTTTGCTTCTATTTCCCAAATCGGATCTTGTTTCAGCCTGTTAAGCTTGTCATTGGTGCAAATTTCGCATCTTATTGACTGTCAGGATGCCCAAAAATAATTATTATTAGTGTTAAAACGGGATTGCCTAAAATTTCATGTTTACGAACCCAATGCGAGACGTACTAATCACAATTTATAATTATTTGTAATTTTTTGGACAAAACTGTTTTTGTGCCGTTTGTTATAAAATTAACAGTCTAGGCAACTATGGCACTCTTAAGGTCGAAAACACAATGCCTGAGCTATTCGTTGTGTGTGGCTCACGAACTGTCGAAATAAAATTATATGGTTTTATATGAAAGAAAAAAAAATGAAATAAAATTAAAAGTAAAAGTATCCTAAATGGATTAAAAAAATCATTTTTCTAAGAAATTTTTCACTCTATTCATTTTGCACTACATCAATGTTTACGCAACAAGTACAAACAGGCAAATTATGTGTTTGGCTGATAACGCAAGTATTATGTTTCGCGCTTAAGAAGATCGTCAAGCTTTTATTTTTTCTTTGTTTGTTTTTCTATTTTCTTGCGTTTATTTTGGCAGAACATGTGATAAATGGCATCTTGGTCATACTTTGTTGTATTTGATTGAAAAACAAAATAAAATAGATTTGATAAAAAACGTGAATAAGCTTGCAAAGTATATATAAATATAAGAGAAGTAAATTTAACCGAAGACAAATACTATTTGATGCGAAGTATAAATATTTAATAAGAGGACAAAGTGAATAATCAATTATATATTACATGTCGCACAAAATGACGTCGACCAGTAAAAGTATGAAGTTATCTTCATTCGCGGCTGGTGGAAAATTTTCGGGTAAAGCAGGTCAATCGTCCGTCACACCTTTATCACCGGAAAACGAAAACGCAACCGGAATAGTAAATATTCCTATCATACGTACTAAAGATATACCTAAGCAATTGCCACTCTATGCGGCTGCTTTATTACGTTCTTCGGAAGATTATTTGGCCGCCGAAGATTTGGATAATGTTCAATTAGAATTGGAAACTTTATTATCCAGTGTTGCCTTGCGTTATAGAATTTTAAAATCGGAGTATGATAGCCTAGAAAAAGATGACAAAAATAAAGAAAAAAAATCGAAACATTCTTTGCTCGTTAGTGGTAATGTAATGGAAAAACAACCAGCCTCCCCGGCCACTTCAATAACAACTTGTGGCAAACGTAAACGAGATGAAACTGCAACTGTACGCAAACCAAAACATGGTTCGGTAAAACAAACAAAAAATCTACATAATAAGAATAGTCCGGTCGCTCCACATACAGACGATAGCATGGAATATATACCAAGTAGTAGTCACGGTTTACATGGGCCGAATCGAGAACATTTACAAAAGGTAGCTTTACCAAAAAATGATACTCCGAACAAGTTTTGGCTTTCGGTGGAGCCTTATTGTATGCCTTTAACGAACGAAGATTTACGTTTATTAGATGATCTCTTGGAACAGTATAATGGTCCGTTGGTTCCGCCTATACCTGAACTAGGTCCTCATTATTCTACAGTTTGGGCTGCAGAAGATCTAAAAGAAATACAACAGGGGTCCAATCCAAATACGGGTAGTCGTTTAAAAAGCCATAATAACGGTTCTACGGATATGTTAAAAAGGGCGGATAATCTTGTTGAAGATTGCATCACTGGACCGTTAACGCAACGTTTAGTTTCTGCTCTTATGGAAGAGCAACTAATGCCGAATTCAACAGATATAGTAGCCGAAAACAGCAATAGCAGCAGCGAAAATACCCATGCTACCGCTCCTATTAATTTCAGATCATTGACTATGTTACGCAATTGTATTGGCATCGAGAAACGTTTAAAAAAGGAACTTATTGAACAAGGCATTTTAGATATATCCGATTTTCCCAATAACGATGAAGATGAAATTTTGTCTGAAATCAAAAAACTCATTGCCGAACTTTCTACTATAGCTGAGTATAACGGTAACGCGTTAAGGCGTTTACATGATGCGGCCTCAGAAGAAATTAAACGCTTAGAAATCAAACGTAAATTAGATTTAGTTGATCAGGAAATCTTAGAAACTTACAAGCGCACAATTCAAAATAAAGCTAAACGTAAACCGTTAACAAGCGAAGAGCAACAAGAAATTTTTCGTTTAACACAAGAGCAAAAAACTCTATCCGACCAACTCAACATTCAAAACCACCAATAAACAATTTCTTTTGATTTGCCGTTAACTTCATATTTAAAAGCTATGGAGTTATCCTTGTATATTTGATGATCATCTTCAGATTAGCTAATGAAAATAAAAAATTATAATAAATAAACAAGTTACAACGTAAGGAATTACGTATTTTTGTTGGCGTATATCCATGC